CTATAGTTTGGTCTTTTGCAAAATCTTTGTAAAAGCCTCTACCTGGTTCCTTGCTGCCAAAGTGCTTTTGCTTGCTGGACTTCACCTGTGTTCTTCCACTCTAGCTCCGTTGTCTGGGGCCCTGAGCGTGCCACATCTACCTCGAAGGGTAGCAGACTCAATCCATAGGTGTCGAATGGTTCACTCACGGTAGGAGAGACCCGTAGCATCCCCATTTCACAGATCAGAAAACTGAGTCAGGGGAAGGTGACATACCTTCCTCTAGGGTTCTCTAGTGTCTAACAGAATGAACCCTGGTTTTCGGACTCCAAAAATGAAGTCCGGTCCAGTGCTTCACATGGTTTAAGGAGGAAATCCCTGCTTAGGGTGGAGGCGGGGCCTTCCTCGTCTGGGGAAGGGGGCAGATCGGCCCCAACCTCAGGATGGAGGCGGGAAGATCAGGAAGGTAGGTCCACCTTGCTCTTCAGTCCGCCTCCCACGAGTGTCCGGGCCCCCACTTTATCAGACAACACAGCCGTACTGGAGCAGTGACAGGGCTGGCTTCTCGGGGGCCCGCCCTCTATCGCCGGGGCCAGGGAGCAAACGGGTGCCGTCCCGCCAGAGCCACAGTCCCACGGTGCACGAGACGGAGAGAACTGCCTTCTGAGGACACAGAGCTGGGACCGCAACAGAGGCAGTGGCTACAGTAGGGGCTCGAGGGAGCCTCAGTTAAAGACAGTCTCCCTGATTTCAGGCTGTCCTTGCGAACACCTCTTCCCGCCTCCCTGGAATGGCCTGTGCCCAGCCCCGCGGCGCCAGTGACCTCTGCCCACTCAGAGCAGGCTCAGCCCCTGCTCCCAGCTCGCCACCCCCTCTGCCCTCCCAGTGACATGTACCCACAGGCTCACGCCTTCTGCTACGATTCACTTGCCAGTATTAGACACACAAAAAACCATACGGTGTGAGAACATGACATCTACCTGCTACCTTCAGGGCGGGTATTACATTCTTGGTGACGACAGGGACAGTGTTGCACAGCAGGGCTCTAGAAAGGATTTCAGAGTAACTGAAGCTTTGTGCTGCTGACTCGTAACTCCCCCACTCTAATGACCAGAGTTCCACTCTTGATTCTAGGAGTCGGCCTATTTTAGACACCGCCTGTAGGTGGAATCCCACAGACTTACAGCTTCTGCGGACTGAGCTCACTTAGCATAATCTCCTCCAGGTTCATCCCTGGGGTTGCTTAGCTCAGAATTTCCTGGAAGGCTGAGTAAGATTCCATTATGTGTACACACCACATTGTCTGTATCCATCCATCCATCCATCCCCGGACTCTTAGCTGGTTTCCGTGGCCTTGCTGTTGTGAATAATGCCGCAGTGAACATGGGGGTGCAGATATCTTTTCAGGATCCTGATTTCCATTCTTTGGGGGCAATGCCCAGAGCTGGGATTGCTGGATCATACAGTTCTCTTTGTCATCGTTTGCGGAAGCTCCGCGTGGTTTCCCTTAGCAGCTGTACCATCTTGCGTCCCCACCAACAGTGTACAAGGCTTCCAAGCTCCAACTTTCTTCCTAAAACGGGGTGGCTTTATGAGAATCACCATCCTGACAGGTGTGAGGTGACAGCTCCTTGTGGTTTGGATGTTCATTTCCCCAATTAAAGAGCCATCTAAGGACTGGAGTAGGCATTTCTCCAGAGACGACACGCAAATGGCCAGTGGGTACGGGAAACTGTTGGATAGTTCTTGACCTAAAAAACCCGTAGAGTTCCTTGGGGTTGGGGCCTTACACAGGCCCGGGGCTGGCAGCTCTTTGTCCGGCTGCCTTTAACCTCTACCCAGTCATTACTATGGCTCCCTGCTCCCCCTGACCCTCTCCCTATGCCACCAGCTCAACTCCCGGGGCCTCCGTGCCGCCCCCACTGCTCTGGGTTTATGGGAGTTACTGCAACAGCTTCCTGCCCATCTCCCCCAGCACGGCGGCCAGGCTCACTATCGCTGCTTTGCTGGGGCCTTGAGGCTGGAGCTCTCCGTCCCCCTGTACCAGCTACTTTCATGGTCAGGCCCCCAGCCCCAGCAGTGACACTCAGAACCCACAAGCATCAGCTCAGTGACATCGCGGTCCACCCGTGTGACCAATCCTGCCTTCCGGGAAGGTGAAGCAGCCGGCGAGGTCGGCCAGCACAGGGCCTTTGCCACGGTGAACCACCCAACTCTGTCCTGCTCATCCTTCTCTGCTCTTCCTCCTCCAGGAAGCCCTGTAACCACCATGATGAGCATGTCTGGCGCCCTGCTCGGAACACCCTGTGTTTACCCCTGTCAGGGCAGCTACCGAGCTCCTCTCTAACAGTCTGTCCCGGCATCTGCGCTGCCCATCCCCAGTGAGGCTGTGGACCCCCGTCTGCCCAGCACAGTATCAGACAACAGAGCTCACGTAGTCTGAGGGGCTGACTCTCCCTTGAACTCTCAAAACAGCCCCATCTTCCTTCTGTCCTGGAAGCCAGGGCTCAAGGAGAGCCAGGCACTTGGCTGAAGAAAGGCAGCCAGCATGTGGCCTTACATGGGGTTCAGACCCCCTTCCTCCCCGAAGCGTGCTGAGGGCCACGTGCTCCACCTTTCCCTGTGCCCGACGAGCAAGGCGCCCAGACCCTGGGTGGCAGGACTGGGCCCTGGTTCAGGGCGAGGCTGCCTCCACCTCCGCAGGTGCCACCTGTGGAAAAACAAACTGTCCCAACTGGCTTGTAATTCTCCCTCCCCGGAGCCGCTGACCCCGGGGCCTGGCAGGCTCTGGTGGGACCCACGCCCACCTGGCACGTCATGCCCAGTGAGGGCAACAGCCTCTGAGTTGGGGTCAGCCACTTGGACTCTGGATCCTGACCAGTGAAGGGAGGGGGTGGTTTCCAGTGACATTTATATGCAAGCCCTCCTGCACAGTGTGAGTGGCGAGGCCTTCCAGCATCTTCTGCCCGTCCTGTAAGGGGCCTTCAGGGTAAAGAGGCTTTTGTTACCTCGGGTAGTTTCGAGAGAAGAAACAGTAACCTACGGCCAGGTGTCCTTTTGAAGGAGGACCATGCGGCTAAGCACCTGCATGGACGCTGGGAACGAGGAGCAGCTCCCACTTGTTCTCGGCTGGACGGTACCACTCGCTCCTCCGGGAACATGACGCGAAGCACAGCCTGACTTTTGGGGGGAGGAGATCGTCACTAGAGGAGTTTCTCATTTTGTTAGTGAGATACTGTCCTGAACTCACCACAAGGGGCATCTCCCTGAGCACGATGGCTGTGTTCCTGCAAAGGTGGGAAAATCCAACTCCTGTCAGCAGAACCACTGCTGACATGGGGGAAGGAAGTGGTCTGTTTCATGGAACCCACGGGGACCCCGGGAGGCAGGGGCAATTTCTTTTTTAATGTGGCTCATTCCCTAACTCGTCTTGGGGCTTGGACGATTCTGGATCTGCCACTTACTCCCTGGGTGGCCGGGGTCCTGCTGAGCCTCAGCACTCATCGACAGAGGGGCTGTCTTCGCTGGCAGAGTCTGGGGGCCGCACATTCGGAAGGTCAGTGGCGCAGGGACACTCGAGACGCGAGAATGAGGTTCACCTCAGCTTGGTTTTTTAGACACGTTTTGTCCCAGTGAGATATGGTTTGTAGAAGTTACCGTTTCTTACTCGCATTTTCTGCCAGCTGTAGAGCCCATTGATGTTCAAATACCGAATCTTGTTGATTCCACTGTTCCAATCTCTGTGCCGCACAGAATAACGCTAAGAACGTCCACGCCCCAGTCCCCGGACCCTCTGTGTCCCCTAACCTGGCGCAGAGGGCTCGGCCGGTGTGGTTAAGGATCTTGAAAAAGGCAGATGGCCTACGTGGGCCCCGTGTGATCACGAAGGTCCTGGTATGAGGGAGAGGAATGCAGGTGGCCAGAAACAGGGAAACGCAGGGAAACATTCTCCCCTGAAGCCTCCAGAAGGAACCAGGTCTGCCAACATTCTGACTTTAGCTCCATAAGACCCATTTTGGACTTAAGACCCCCCACAACTGCAAGACGGTATGTTTGGCATTCAAGCCACTAAGTGTGAGGTCATTTGTTACAAGAACTGTAGGAAGTAAGGCAGAGTTCAGCAACTCTGCGTTCACAGCCCAGACCCCTCCAGGCCCTTCTCCCCAGGGCAGGCAGGGGTCACTTCAGATGGCAGCTGGACCATGGACGACTACCGGCCCCCCCACCCCCAGCCAGGACCACCCGACGGGCCTCCCTCCTGTCCTCCTGCACCAGGAGCCTCTCGACCTGACCCACCAGCACTCTCAGGCACCTTCTGCCCAGGGACGCTCTGGCTGCCCTCATCACATGTCCCACTGGCAACGTCATCTCCCCGGTGGCCCGTGAGTCTCCACCAGGCCTGGGAGAAGTGGTTTGGCTCGCGGCCGTGTCTGCAGGGGCTCCAACAGGGCTCGGCCCACACAGGTGCTCAAGAACGGCATGGAAGGAAGGGACAAACCGCCCTCTCCCGCAGGTTTTCCCAAACACCTGGCAGGGGCCCACGCCCTATTTTATCTCCGGTTCTCCTCGTCCGTCCTCCCTGGGCACTGAGTGCCCCCCTCCACCACATCCCGTAGCGCGCCCACTGTCCTGGGGCACAGGCCGTTTAAAACCCAGGTGGGTCATCCCCTCTGTTGGACTGCTGAGTGGTTGTGCTATTTTTGGCTCTTTTGCACGGGAACGTCCTTTCTAATTAGACGGTGGCCTACATCCTGGTTATTCTTTTAGGATGAATTCCACAAGAAGGCCCCCCCTTTTTGCTATACCTCTTTTGATCTTAAATGCAATGTTCTCCAAAGCGTTTTCTTTGATCCTCTAGCAAGGGCATGGGTCAGTGACAATGGGGGAAGAAAGCCCTGGCCCCCGTTGTGCTCACCTGTTGGAGCTGGGGAGCATCTGTCCCCTCTGAGACCACTCCTGCCCCTCTCACACCCTTCTGGACACCCTGACTTAATTGGATTCTTCCCTGCTCTATCCTACAGTGACATCACCCCTCCTGGAGAACCGCTGACCAAGAACGCCCGGCCCAAAGTGGCTTCCCGCTTCCCCAAGCTGTCCCGAGGTCACCCCAGAGAGACCCGCAACGTGGAGCCCCAGAGCGGCGACCTCTGACCTCCGCCGAATCCCAGACTTGGGCCCTATGTGCTGCACCAGCTGCCTCCACCCAGCCACTCCGCGTCTGACCTGGCCCCAGCAGCCGGCCCCTTCCACCCCGGAGTGAGCCCCCCGTCACCTGGTAAAGCCACGAGAGCGCACCTTCCCCCCCAGTCCCGTGACACTGATTAAACTGGGCAGTCTCAGAGGGCAAGGCGGCTGCTGGCCGGACACACGGGCGCCCTCCCAGGGCCTGCCCGTTCCTCTCCCTCCAGCCCAGGGGCCGGCAGGAGGGTGGGCGCCAGGGGGAGCGTGGAGCCCCGTGGTGGAGATGCACAACTCTGAGGTGGGTCAGAAACCACCTCTTGACTCTTCCCCACATGGGAATTAGAATGACTGTTACCCTGGTTTTTTTTTTTTTTTCTTTTATCATAACTGCCTGCTGTAACCTATGGCCATGTGGGGTTGGGGGGGGAGGTCGCGTTCCTTCCCCTTTTACTCTCTACCAGGGGCCCTAAAACCCTCTGGTTGTAGAATCCGTGGTCAGTGGTAGCTCACGTGGCCTCCTCGAGGAAAACATGCTAGTGGCCTTGTGAAGGGACTACTAAGGACCCTGAACTGGGGTGCATAGAGCACTTCCCCCAACCTTCTGAGGTTGGCTTCGGGAAGGACTAGCCCCTGTAGGAAACCAGAGGCCGCCTGGGCCCACGTGCACCTTGTGAGGCTTGGCAGGCCCTGGGCTGTCCAGAATTCCAGGGCCTTGACCTTACAAGCCAAGAGGCCTCAAGGTCGTGAGAGAGAGACTCTGTTCTGGGAACTACGATGGAGCAGGCCACAGGCCCTCGGGCTTGCAGACCACGCTCCAGAGCCCTGCAGAACTCCGCGGGGCTCCCTGGGAATTCGGACAGTGTGCACTCCCACCAGATCATGGTCATTCCCTGAAGACACGTTCACGCTGTACCCTCTGCCCCCCGCCGTGCTCTCAGTGTGTCCCCCCCCCCCCCCCCCCCAATCTCTGAGCAGGCCCCCTTGGCAGGAGGGAACTGGGTGAAGATGAGCTGCTCGGCCCGGTTCCCGCGGCAAGCACTCCCACGTCCCAACACTTCCCAAGAACCGGAGCCGGGCCCCCCTCACTGGCGGCGGGAGCAGAGTTGCCCTGGACTCTGAAACCTCGAGCTGCCCCAGGCCTGCCTCCCCAGGGTGGGTTCCTGCTCCCCCTCAGTCTAGGAAGCAGGGTTGGCAGCAGATAAGGAGTGGAGCCTCCTGCAGCCTGTTTGGGCACCGGGCCCGACACATGTCCGAGTGTGAGTCTGACCTCACCTTCTCCAAAATCCCCACCAGGAACCTGCTTTGACATTCTGCAGAGGTTAAAAAAAAAAAAAGTGCCCAGAACTACGACGGACAGATGCTAAGCCTTGAGAAACAATTACACACTCAGCCTGTATTTACGAAAGAAGAAACTCTAACTATTTTTTAAAGCTTAATTATTCATGGAAAACTTGCCCTGCTTTCCTGAAACACAGATGGAAAAGCTTGTTCCTGGGACCACACACAGCCCATCCAGGCTGCTTACTACATGCACCCCCTTTTCGTGATGCAGCAGAAACCCTAGAACCATTGTCAGCATACGCACCACCTCCCCTCATTTCAGCTCAGATCCGCATGCGACATACACATGACAGCCACTCCTCAAAGCCTTAACTCTGGAGTCACAGAATGTTCTGCAGTGGTTACCTCCATCACTGCTCCAGATCCCCGCCCTGCTGGGATGCAGAGAAGCAGTGGATCTCCAGTTCCTAGACAAAGAACCACAGACCTGGGCCCAGCCAGGTGCGGACTGAGACCCGATGCACAAAATGCCACCTTCTCCCCATGTCCGTGTCGTCTGCTGCCCTTTGGTTCGATCCAAATCAGAGGGCTGGCTGGCCCTTGCCCTGCACGACACCCACTCGGCCCCGTGACCCATCAGAGATAAACACAGTGCAACGGAGAGAACCAGTAGAAGTTGCTCCCGTCTCCTAGATCCAGTAAGATCCTTCGGCACCTCCGAAGTTGGCACCCGAGGAAGGTGGCGGGGCCCACCTGGGAGAGGGCATTCTCTCCCATGATGGTCACCTTTAGCACCACTACCCAGGTACACCCAAGGGCTCTGGTTACAAAGGGATCACCTCGTTGAGTTGTTGAGACAGGAACAGAGAGGGAGGGATGGGGCAAGGGTCTGTGGACAGGAGGTAGTTACGCGCTGGGCTCTCCTCCACAGCTGGGCACCTCCTGAGTTCTTGGCTAACCACTCAGAGTTGTCAACATTGGCGGGGTGTGGGTTGTGCCTTTAAAAACAAAGGGCAATCAAAGCTGTTGACAGTCGTCGGATTGATAGCTCAGCTGCAGCTCATGCCAAGAGCCAACCGGCATGGGAGGCCTAATAATGCATCACGTGTTTGGGCCCCGAGTCAGGAAGCGGGAACGGAGAGCTGCCAGCCAGCCCTGTTGATCAGAAACCACCCTGCTTGCTTCCCCGCACCCCGAACCAGGGTCTCTGTGGCCAGGCTGCACCAAGTGTTCTCTTTCCCTCTCGGCTCCGCATGGGAAAGTTCACCCACCTGAGGCGCAGGCTTCTAGGCCTCGACCCCCTGCCCCCACATGTTCACCTTCACCGGGGGAACCGGCCCGCCCCCCCACTTGGAGGCCAGGCCTTGTCCTCTGGGGTCCCCGCAGACACCGCCACACCAGTCTCCTCCAGAAGCCTTCATGCCTCAGCCTGGAGCCTTTGGACGCACCAGAGCTCGTTCCCGGGGAGGCGCCCTACTCCCGAGGGGCCGTCTTGCCTGGGTGTAGAACTGAGGGCAAAGGACAGGCTCCATTTTCAGCCTGGAGCGACCGTGCCAGGGCCTCACCTGCCCAGGAACATCAGACTGGCGTGGAGGCGTCCCAGAAGGGGCACACCTCCTGCCCGATGTCAACCCCAAAGGCAATAATTGTCTTGACCTTTCTTTCCTCTGTGGTTCGTGCGGGACCGTGCCCCACACGCTGGGCTCTGTCCCCAGCCCAGGCCGCGGCAGACAGAGGGTGCTTCCGGCAGGCAGGCATCTGCTCAGGAGCAAGGTCTTGTACAACCGTCATTTTTCTAAATATTTTGCATTGTTTCATTAAAGCTAACATTCAATATTTGCTGTTGGGTTTGGCTTCTGTGCTCATTTCACACCATTGTAGCACTGTATATTTTATCTAACGTTTCTGTGCCAAAAAGTTCATTTTCCTGTTTCTGTAACACGTGGTTTTGATTAGGTTTCTAAAATAAAACTTCAGCTACTGGATCAGTAGGGAGGAGGGGGAACATGGGCGTGCTCAGAGCCGACTGGCTCTGGGCTCAGCCTGCCCCTGCCCAGATGCATCTGCTCAGCTCAACCCCACGGTCTCACCTTCCCCTCAACCATGAACCACTGTGGTATACAGACCTGAGGTTGACAATTCTCTGTGAGGGCAAGGAGCCTCTCCTCGTGTGTCTAAATCCTCACAACCACAGTGAATGGGTTTTAACTTAACCTACCCAATCCATTCCTTTACAGGAAAATACAAAATCTGATTTCTCTAAAGGATGGTTGAGCTTACAGCATGGAGGAGCACCCCACCACAGAACATGCTGAATGCACTACTGTTCTGAGGTCCAGGGGTTAGTTCTTAGGGCACATGCATGCCTCTCCATCATGACTGGAAAACCACTAGCTGACCTCCCCAGGTAGCACCCTTCTCCTCAGAGCCTGATCGGGTCCCCTTCCTGCTTTCCTGACCTGCACACGGAGAGCCCACTTGTTCACCTTGAAAGACTCTTTCTACCCTCAGTAGAAACTATGTAGGGAAGGCCCTTGCAAAAATTGAGACTGAGGCCACAGAAGGATACAGAACAGCAGACCGCACACTTGCACCCAGTGTTGCTGAAAGGAAGCCTGAAGAACACACATTTCCCGGAGTGAGGGGGTGGCGGAGCTCACTGGGATGTTTTCTTATCTAGCATCCGGCCAGGAAAGAACGTCTTTGCCTCTGCAGCCTTAGCTTCACCTTTGCTGGCGGCATCATTTGGTAGAACTCTTTGCTAACCTTAGCAGATACGGACTTCCTGGAGGAGGGAGACCGGTGAATGCAGGAGCCCTGGTGTCCCAGTGGGGAGGCCATCCCCCCCCGAAGAGTCCCCCTTGGCTGACCGGGTCCCTGCGAGCCCTCTGCCAGGGAGGTGGGGACATGGCAACACCTGGAGAGTCTAGTCCACCGTCTGGACATACGTGGGGCCTAGCAGTCTGCAGATTCGCTCCAAAACGTGTAGTATTATGTTAACTACCCTCTTATGTTAAGGTTTACACAATAGAATTTTTAAACAAATGTGTTTTTCTAAAATCTCTTGTATTAAAATTTTCTTTTGGAATAAGCTGTGGTAATTTTGTTACAATCTGGTTGAGATACACCTCTTTACAATGACAATAAAAACGGTCACGTTTTATAAATTAGATAGTCCACTGATGGTCTACTTCTGTGCATTCTTTTTCAGTGATTGGGGATGAGCGCAACTTTCAATACACATTGTAAAAATTTCCAGAAAACTCATCCACCATTTCATGCGAGATCCTAGAAAACAGCATTGGCTTAGACCAACCTCAGTTTGATTGGAGCTGAAATGGAGCGGAAATCCCACTGTGAGCTGTGAGCCCTGTAGAACTTGGAGATGCACATTCAAAATGCCATACACAAAAAAAAAAAAAAAAAAAAACCCTTGCTACAGGTTCCTACTCATCCAGATAGTTGCTGGGCACCTACTGTATACCAGGCATCTTGCCTGGAGTGGGCATAGAGCACCCTGGCCGTCTCTCACTTGAGTTCCAGGTGAGACGGGTGGACAACAGAGATTTGTGAAGTCAGCCACCACCGAAATTACGGCCCACGTTAGGTGCCACGAAGGAATAAGCCGGGCTTGGGGAGCCTAGAATGGGGCCAGGACCTGGTTTGAACCACAGAGGCCAGGGTATCTCCCCTGTGGCTGTGCCCACACTGGGCAGTGGGTACACGGTGCTGGGGCAGGGGGAGCACTCGTAGGATGTTGACAGTGTACCTGGTCCCGACCTACGGGATGCCTGTAGCACCGTGCAGCTGTGACCACCAGAAAGGTCTCCAGACTTGGCCACGTACCTCCTGAGTGAGAGCCCCCGGTTGAGAACCACTGGGTGAGGCCAAGGGGTGCTTTCGGCAGAAGTGGCATTTAAGCTTTAGGTGGAGGATGAGAAAGAAATGCCACACTGTCCTTCCCCGCCCCTCCCAAGTGACGTTGCCTTGAAAATCCACACCACACAGCCAGGGACTTGGCCTGTGTGACCTACTTAAGGGAACGGAGGAGAAAAGGAATCTTGGGTTAAGGAGAGCCCAGGCGTGAGGTCATTCTGTGAAACTCCTACCATCGGCTCTGGGGATCTGACCAGGGCTCCAAGGAGGGTGCCCTCCAGCCTGATGACATGGGGGGGACAGGTTAAGGGCGTGTGTGTGGACAGCACTCGCCCCGCATGCTGTGGCCTCCAGCGTTCTCAACCCTATGCCCCCACCCTCCAGCCCTCACTCCTGCCCCGTGAAGCATGCGCCTTCCTGTGTATTTGAACAGATAAGAAAACTAAGCTCGGGCTCCGTGTTGGCCCCGGCTCCCCCAGCCCAAGGTGGAGGAGAAACTGGGGGGACTCTCCACATCAAGCCCACAGCCGGGATTGTCTTGGCCATGCTCCAGAATGTCCCAGCCGCCCCTGCCTCACGTCCCTGTGTGTACCGAACACACCCTGACACGTGCAAGCTCTCCTCTGGGAGGGCTCAGCTTCTTGGCCGCCTCCAAGCACAGCTCACCCCCCAACAGTATTCCCTCGAGCTGTCCCAGGCGGGGGCTCATTCTCAGTTTCCCTATTTCAAACCACTTTGTCTCCTCAAAAGCATCAGTCCCTGTGGCCCTCAGGCCTGCTACTGGTAACAGCCTCTACACGCAGGCTGGCCACCTCTCTGACCTCCGTGGGGCTTCTCCTCACTCCCTGGTCATTTACATCCCAGCTGATGCCCCACATCTCACTCCTCAGCTTCTCTCTCCCCAAAGGCTTTTCCTCTTGGCCACTTGGCGCCTCTTCCAGACCCACACAGCAGCCCTGCCCCGGCCACCTCTGGAGTCTTGACTTTAGGTTCTCTACTCAGATGTCCTGCCATTGTGTTACTCCCATATCCCCACCGCAACAATTCTTCAAATACTTTAAGACCTGCAACCTGTCTTTTTTAAAACCCTGTCCTCCTCACTTTCTTGCCAAGCCTCCTCCTTCCCAGCATTGGTTTCATGGGCACAGCAATCATCCTTCCCTTCCAGACTTACATTCTCTTGCCCATCTTTCCACTTGCTTCGCAAAAAACACACCTAGTCAAGCCCAACCAACAAGCCAGTATTACCGTAACTTTTCTTTGTGACTCCACACTTTGTTTTCCATTAATTTGAGACTAATGCATTTGAAAGAATTATTAGTTTATGTTTGGGGGCACACAATGCATAAAGATATAATTTTGTAAGAGCCACTGAAAGGGGTAGGGACAGAGCTGTAGCATTTTGTAGGTTATTGAAGGGGAGCTGGATAAAAACACATTTGAGTGCTCTAAGTTTAGGATGTTCTGTGTAACCCCCACAGTAACAACAAAGAAGATCACTATATACACAAAAAGAAATGACAAAGGAATTTCAACTTTCACTACCAAAAAAAAAAAATGAACACAAAAGACAAGGAAAGCAAGAAATGAGAAGCAGAAGGCTGTTAAGGCATACTGAAAACAAACAGCAAAATGACACAAGTCCCTCCTTATCAGTAACTACTTTAAATGTAAATGGATTAAACTCTCTGGTTAGGACAGATTGGCAGAATGGATAAAAACACATGATCCAACTATAATGCTGTCTATGGGAACTCACTTTAGATCCAAAGACAAAGACAGTGAAAGCATGGGAAAAGATATTCCACGTCAATAGTAACCAAAAGAGAGGAGCAGCTATACTAATATAAGATTAGACTTTAAATTAAAAAAAAAAAGGTCGCATGAGACAGTTATATAATACAAGGCTCGAGACAGCAAGAAGTTATAAATATAAATAAATGCACACTTAATGATGGATCACCAAATTCTAGGAAGTAAAAACTAAGAACTATGGGAGAAAAAGACAGTTCTACAATTATAGCTGGAAACCTCCACACCCCTTCCTGGTAATGTATAGAGCCACCACACAGAAGCAAAGGGAATGTAAACACAATAAACCAACTATATCTAGCACATGCACAGAACACTCTACCCAGGGACCATGTACACACAGTTCTCAAGTGCACAAAGGACCTTTTCCAGGACACACTGTATGTTAGGCCACAAAACCAGTCTCATATTTAAAAATACTGGTATCATACAAAACATCTTCTCCAACCACAGAAAAATGAAGTTGGAAATCATTAACAGAAGGAAAACTGAAAAATTCACCTATTTGTGGGAATTAAGACACTCAAACAACCAATGGATCAAAGAAGAAATCCCAAGGGATATTAGAAAATATTTCAGGATGAATGAAAATGAAAATACAAAATACTGAAACTTATAGGATCCAGTGAAACCAGTGCTAAGAAATGCAGAGCTATTAATGCTTATGTTGAAAAACAAGATCTAAAATCAACCACCTAACTTCACACCTTAAGGAACTAGAAAAAGAACAAACTGAACCCAAAGTGAGCAGGAAGAAGAAAATACAGATTAGAGCAGAAATAAACAGAAAAGAGAGAAAATTAATGAAACCAAAAGTTGGTTCTTTGAAAAGATCAAGAAAATTGACCAGCTTTTAGTTGGACTAAAAAAAGAAAAAAGACTCATTAAATTCAGAAATTAAAATGGGGACAGTTTTACTGATTCCTCTGAATCTAAAAGGATTACGAGCTCTCTGTGAACAACTGCTTGCTGTAAGTTGAATAACCTACGGGAAATGGACAAATTCTTAGAAATACAAAACCTTGAGTCACTAAATTCTGCACCTGAAATTAATATTACACTGTATGTTAACTGGAATTTAAATAAAAACCCGAAAGGAAAAAATACACAAAGCCTACCAAAACCAAATCCAAAAATAGAAAATTTGAAGAGACCTTTAATTGAATCAGTGTTCAAAAGTCTCCTGGCAAAGGGAAGGCCTAGACCCAATGACTTCAGTGGTGAATTCTGCCAAACATTTAATGAACAAGTGCTAAGCCTCAAGCTTCTCCCAAAAATTGAAGAGAAGGGAACACTTCCTAACTCGTTCTATGAGGGCAGCGTTTCCCTGAAACCAAGTCACCACAAGAAAACAACAAATGAATATCCCTGGATAAATATGGATGTAAAATTCCTCAACAAAATACTAGCAAACATTGAGATGCATATTAAGAGAACAATGCACCACGACCAAGAGGGATTTATTCCTGGAATGCAAGAATGGTTCAACACATGAAAATTGACCAATGTAATGTGCTACATCAACAGAACACAAGGAAAAACCAGTGGATCATCTCAACAGGTGCAGAAATAGCGTTTGACAAAATTCAACACCGCTTTTATGATTAAAAAAAAAAAAACACTCAGTAAAGTAAGAATAAAGGAAACTGCCTCCCTGTAATAAAAGCCATGTATTGAAAAATCCATAACAAACCTAGTATTTACTCAATGGTGAAAGACTGAAAGCTACTCCTCTAAGATCAGAAACAAGACAAGGGTGCCCATCTTCACCACTTCTATTCAACATGGTACTAGAAGTGGTAGCCAGAGCAACTAGGCAAGAAAAAGAAGTAAGAGCATCCAAATTGGAAAGAAAGAAGTAAAATTATCCCTGTTCACAGATGATAGAATATATGTAGAAACCCTAAGGATTCCACACACAAAAACACAAACCTGTTAGAGCTGATGAACAGCTTCAGCACAGTGCAGGATATGAAGTCAATACGCAAGTCAGCTGCATTTCTACACCCAAACCATGAACAACCTGAAAGAGAAATTATGAAAGCAGTCCCATGTACAAAAGCATTAAAGAATAAAATACTTAGGAATTAACCTAACCAAAGAAGTGCAAGACAGAGAAGATAAAAACAAATAAAAGCACATTCGTGGATTGAAAGACAATATAAGTTACATCAATACTACTATTAAAGAAAAAGAAACCCCAAGCCCAAAATGGTGTGATGTAGACAGAATTCCCAAACCAGTGCTTAATACATAATCTAATTGCAGTCTCAACCTCCCCCAGAAATGTTGCCTTAAACACTCAGCTAGGAATTTTTCAATCCATGCCAGTGAGTCTGCCCCTTGAGCCCTCTCCATCCCCCTATAGAAGAAGAAGGTAATCTGCAATAAGACGCCATGCTCTTCTTCCTAGAAAGTGGCCTTAACTGCAATAATCCTTTTCTTTTGCCAGTGACTTTTTTGCCCCTCCCCTCCTTCTATA